TTAGTTTAGTTTTTCTTTGATTAATAGTGGTTTCACTTATTAATCATTATAAATCTTTTGATTTATTTTATTCTTTTCTTTATATTTTTGTTTCTTTTTCAAATTATTTTTGTAATTTTGATCTTTGAACACACAATATCTATAGATATTGATACAGGCCTTAGAAACCTTTGCTAATATTTATAATTTATTCTCTTTATTTAAGTTTAATCATCTCTCTTCCAATATTATATGCTTATAGTGATTCTCAGTGAAACCCACTATTCAGAATTGCTGTAACAATACCTAATTGAAATCTTATTACTTTATCTTTTTTTTGAACTATAATAATTTTGGTAGAAATTGATATAGAACTTAGATATTATTATTATTTTATTCTTATACTTATCTAATTATATTTTTCAACTCTTGTTTGTATTTATTAGCTAATTATCTAATTAGTAAAAAATGTATAACAGTATAAAATACAGATTTTTCTCTTTATATAAAAGTTGTAAATTTTACTAATTAAAATTTTTTATTTTTATACAAAAATACAAATAATAATTTATATTCATATTTTAATATATTTAATCTGAGCAAGTTTTTCTAATTGCGAATAAGTTGATTAATTTTTTATATATTTTAATTATAAAAATTAATCAACTTTGTAATTAGAAAACTTGCTCAGATTAAATATAAAAAATATATGTAAAAATATGAATATGAATTGTTTATATTTTTAAAAATAAAAAATTTTAATAATAAAATTCAAATTTTTATATAAAAAAAACTTATATTTTTATTATATTTTATTAGTAAATTTTGAAAGTAATGCATTATTTTTATAAGCTACTATATTATTATTTAATATATTTTCTTTATAATAGAATTCTAAAAAAAACTCTAATTCAGTTCAAGTTTGAATTGAACTTGAATCTGATTTAAGTTTGGTTTAAAGATTTGAATTTAATTCAAAATCTGGTTTGAGTTCAGTTCAAACTTTTAAATCAAATCAAAAGTCTGGTTAAGTTCAAATAAATATTCAAAAACTATGATTATAAACAAGATTGTAGCTTGAAATAAGAACTACAAATTCGTGTAAGATAATTTTATTAACTACAAAAGATAATAAAATTTGTAGAATTTTTGCAATTGTAAAGACATTAACAAAAATATATATTTTGAAAATGCAATTCCATAAATAATGCAAATAAGTAACAAACGTTCAAAATTAATTTATTTTTTGTTCTATTATTAGTACAATACAATGGAATGATTCAAAGGATTTGATCACAATGGTGTTCAGTCCTAATTTAAATCATATGTTATGTGGAGCCGTAGGACCGCAGACTTTAGCGGTCCTATCTGATCGCAAACAGACCCGTCCAAAGCGATTTATGGACCGAACCTTTAACATCCCTATGTATGATCATCTCCCAAAGAATATTTATACTCTATAAATAAACAGATATTGTGATAATATATAAACTCATTGAAAACCAGATGTAGTTTTACTTAATTGTTGACTAGTACAAATCCTTCATAAAAGGCAAAAAAATGATAAACAATCTATGAATCCCATAAAAAAGATAATATTTTATGAGAAATACTAATGTTGGAAAGATTTCAATGGTGTTGCCTCTATTGTGTCGCAACAAACAATTACTGTTACTGTTACCGTTACGGATTATTTACTATTTAAGAATTTATTAACGTTAAGGACAACGGCGACCAATTTCGGTAAAAAAGAATTTGCGGTAACTTTTAGGGTTTTGATTTTCGACGGCAACTACATTATACAACTGCCTTTTCTTAAACACATAATTCATTTCTATAATGTATATTTGTATTATCATTAATTATTGCCGTCAATTCTTTTTACATCTGATAATAATACTCAATGTACGAGCCTGCATTTACTACTTTTCTTTTCTTCGTATTATTTACCAATTACAACTCAAAAGAGAAAACCTGGTATTATTTACCAATTACATGTACCATTAAAAAGAGGAAAACTAGATTTTTTGTAGCAACTAACAAAATTTATTTATACACATGTACGTAGATTTCTAATTGGATCGTGTGTGTTGTAACGGTAACAGCAACATAGAACCTAACGCTAAATTTAGAAAAAACGACAGCACTACTTATTCCTATGGAATTCAAGTTAAAGAGTAAATATAGTGACAAAGCAATAACATTTATGCAATGAACTGATTGATTTTGTTCTGAAGCTACGAATAAATTGTGGCGTATCATTGAACCTTTAATAAGAAGTTAAAAAACAGGTACATGTACTACAACTTTTGGTGTGAATTACTATCGCTATTTCTATGCACGTATTGTACGTATATATAACGATAACGATATGCTTATGTCTAAACATCGATACATGTACGTATATCGATATTGTATTAATATAGGAATAATAATAAGAGGCATTTTTTCAATTAAAGTTTCTTTAATGGACAATGAACATGATAAACTTAAAAAATAGCATCAACAATGTCAAAAAATTATAAAAAACCCAAGTTTTGAGATTTGCCGACTATAAATCAATAAATGACAAACCCTGTAATAAATAATAATAACAATAATGCTGAGCATAATCCGATTACCGGTAACAGGTCACAAAATCGAGGAGCAATATTCATTTGCACTTGAAGGCCATGTAAATAAGAAGAAAACAAAAAACTTGATAAAACAAAAAGAACCAACTAACAAACCAGTTTTATCGAACCACACAAAATAAATAGATAACAAGATTCGAATTCAGCCTTAAAATCAATAAATTCAACTCACTATTAACAGAAATGCGCACACCACCCATCTTATATATTATTCCAGCAGTGTTTATCTTGGGGACAATAACAAGTTTGATAGCACTCGCCCATATAAAAGAAACGTCTGACTTTAAAACACATCAAGAATCAGTCTCGCCTTATTTGTGGGCAGGATTAGGGATTGTGTTTGCTGTATGTTTGAGCACTTTGACATGGCAGTTGGTTGTCGTTAAAAAAATACGTGATAAGGTTCATTGATATCTTTTTTATAATCATATGAGCATAATTAATATTATAAAGATAATTAATTCTGTGTTTTAGAAAAAAGTAGCGATAGATAAACTATTACAAGAATTTAATAAGGAAGATAACCCAAATTATGTAAATTGGAGATTTGCCGAAACTCCAAATACAGGTGCTATCTATCAAAATGTAGTTTATCGTTATCAATTGTTATGTGTATACTGTGCTTATCGTTATGCTTAATAACAAATTTTTAACGTAAAAATTTCATTTACTAAATAAAAAATTTCATTAACTAAAACAAAGGTACTCTTAATAGAAATCGGCGAGCCGCCCATGTGCGTAATAAATATATCAGAGGCACCAGAACTTGAAAAATACTTAAATAACGGTCCAATTTCATCATCTATGCATTCTTCAATTTAAGCACAACTCTGCTACATAATCCGATAATTGACCACGAATTATCTTCATATAGTGATAATGCATCTTTGATTTCAACGTCATAAGGATTGTAAAAGGTTATAGCTTGATTTTATTTATTAATGGAGTTCTTTAAATATGTAATTATTTATGTCTGTAATAATGCTATCAGAGCTACCTTATGAATTTAATGCAAAATAACGGGTTCTAATTAATTTTATCGAATAGATAATGAATCTATTTGTCTACATGTAGTTACTGATCTTTAACGGGGTGTTGACAATTGCTTTGCCGATAATTTGGTTCTTACAGCACATGGCATCGATGACATGTTATATCCAAATGAAATTTGGAGTGAATTTATCACGGAAACAGAATTTGATTGGTTTGGCATTTACAATTCAGTCCAGTACTATTATAATACTAAATTGTAATAGTGTTCAAAACACCAAATTATTCTCTTTATCACTCTCACTATCTCCATCATTGCTGCCACCTCACCTTATCACGTGAATAATGTCATTAGGATTATAACGAAATGGTATGTCATCTGGAAAATCCAACTGCAAACGATTGACTGATAAATATTTTGACAATTGCAAATAATTACATGACACAGATTTTGGTTATCCGCTAACGCTAAAATATAATGCATCAAACTAAGCATTGTTAAAATTGATAATTCACGTATAAGAAGATAGTTAATGTATAAGAACTTTTTTATCTAAAAAGATTTGAGATTTAAAATTTTAAGTTTCCAACATTAATAATCATTGACACTACTTTTACTATTAGAAATTTGAAACCAATAAAATAACAGACTAACTTATATCTTTATTTCTAATAAATATAATATGATGTTCAATGTATAGACCATCTATTATAATCTTTTATAAAAAGTTCTTCATACAAGCTGTTATAGCAAAGGAAAAAGTCTTGAACAAAGCACTCATATTGGTCACAAAGCTTGGATTTGAGATTCTTTGGGAGATTTTCACTAATATGAAAAATACAGTGAACTTGATAAATGGTTACATATATTTGTCTAATTACTGTATTTGCTGCAGGATCCGCATTCATAATAAATACTAACAGTTCAGTTATTGTCATATTTTTGTGCATTCCAGAATTCATTATAGAACTCAGTTATTTCATCTAATACAAGAGCTTGTGCAATAAGACATGATCTAATATTATTGTTCACTACAAAAAGAAGTGAAAACAATATTTGATAATGATTTGTTTTAGTAGTATTGTCATTTAAAATGACATCATAATATTCTAATCAATGAACAATCTGTATTGGGAATATCCAAAAGAGATAAATAAGTCTATTTTCACTATCAAGTTGAAACTTAACAAACTATTTAAAATTATATGATTTATATTGAATGAGTATTATTAGCAAGAAAAATATATTTTGCACTATATTTGATTTAATTTTGAATTTTTATATTATATTATAATTGAGAATAGATTTATTTAAAAACTTTGTCTTCAATAACTTTTGTTGAATAATAATTAATAGATTTTTATATTTGATGAAAAAATTGAATTTTATTAAAAATATTCTCAGAGATGCTCTGATATTTTGAAGCATATTTTAATATTAAAATATAAAATATAATTATATATATTAATAAAAGTTATAAGAGTTATATATGAATAAATTTTTGAATAATTAATATTGATATGTCATTTATATTCTTGATATTTGAATTTATAATCTCAAAATTTATATATTAATATTAATTTTTTGGTTGATAATAATTATTAAATTCATATTTGAAATCATAGTATTTAATATTATTATTTGAATATTAATTTAACTATTTTTTTAATAATTATAAATTCTTATTATTTACTATAAATCTCTATAATAATATTAAACTCTTTCTATAATGTAAAATTATAACTAATATGAAAATTTATAGCTTATTAAATATGTTTAAAAATAAATCCTAATTTAAAAAATCTAATCAAATTAATATTATAAACTGATCAGATTTAACTTATTTTCATTAAATAATTTAATATATATTTTTAGTTATATTATTTTGAAGTTTTTAATTGTTTAACTAAAATATTTTTATTTGTTTTATATTATAAATAAGAATAATTTTTTAGTATAAATTTTTTATTTTGAGTAATTTTATGTTTTAATATTTAAATTGATATATTTTTAATTATAATATTAGTAAATATAATAAGAAAAAAATTTAAATATAATAAGAAAAATATTAAATATAATAAGTATTATACTTAAATATATTTTATTTTGGTTATAACTTTTTTTGTAATCTTAAATTTAATAACTTTGATATTTAAAATTCATAATTTTTATAAATTAAAATTTATAATTTTTATAAATTAAAATTTTTAATTTATATTTTATATATATAATTTAAATATAATATAAGTTTATTATTACTATTACCAAAAAGTAAATAAACAAATATTTATTTTATTAATAATTTTTATGTTATATATTAATTTGTTATATGATTTTTCTAATATTCTGATATTATTACAAAGTTTTCATATAACAAATTGTTATATATACATTTATTTTTGAATTATATTATTAATTATTTTTCTTAATAATAAAAAACTTTGAAAAATATTTTTAAATTTGTAATTTATTATAAATATTATCAAAAAATAACTTAACTTTAGTTACTTTAATTACTTTATTATTTTTCTTATATTGCAAAATTAATTTGAAATATTAAATTATCTAATAATATTTTATAAAAAAATTTGTAAATTACTATTAATATTAATTTATTTTAAATATTATATATTCTTATTTTAGTATTTTTAGTTTTATTTAAAAATTACAAACCAATTTATAGAAGAAAAAATATTATAAAAAATAGTATTTTATAAAGTAATATTCATTATAAAATTTTTAAATTAATTTATAATTTATTATATTTAATAAAATATTAGTAATTAATTATAATTAATTATTAATATTTTTACTAAATATAATTAATTATAATTTAATTTAAAAATTTTATAATATTATAATAAAAATTATTTTGATAATATAATATTTTTATCTACAATAAAAAAATTACAATATATAAATTTAATTATATTATTTATATTAAAATTCTAATAAAATTATAATTTAATTAAATTTTTTTTACTAATAATATATAATATTAATATTTTATTATTATTTAAATATTATTCAAAAATATTTGTATTTAAAGTTGAATAATACTTTATTAAAAAATATTATAATAAATATAATACAGTAATATCTATATACTTTTCTAATAAAAATTACTGGTTAATAAGCAAATTTATTAATAAAATATAATAAATTTTTTTATTATATTAAATTAAAAATTTTAATAATTAATATTTTTTAATTTTATATTAATAAATAAAATTATTATAAATTTATAACTTAGTAATTAACAAATTAATATTATTATATAAATTAATTTATATTTATTAATTATTATTTATTATTAATTTAGATTTATTAATTATTATTCTTTATTAATTATTATTTTTTTATTAATTTATATTTATTAATTATTATTTTTTATTAATTTATATTAAGCTAATTTTAGTTATTTTTAACTAAATTACAAATTAATAAATATTTATATAAAATAATATTAAATTTGAATTTAAAAACAGGAATTTTTTAAAAAATAAAATATTTTTAGTTTATATTTATATTTATTTTTTAAACTATCCAGTAAGTAAATTTGCTCTATAAAATTTTTTTAGCTTATTTTTATATATTTACTCTCTTTTTCTAAGCTAAAATAAAAATATTATATATTTTTATAATTGCTCAAAATATTTAATTAATTTTTTAATCAATTCTATAATTTTATTAAAAATATTTTTAAAATTTAAAATTAATAATAAAAATTGCTTATTTTTAACTTATAGATAACTATAATTTTTTATAATTATTAAAAAAGTAAAAATAATTATTATATAATATATAATTAAAGCTAAAATTAAACAAACTTTTTT